ATGTGTGTGTGTGTGTATATATATGTATGGGGTTTTTTAACATTTTCTGTGTAAACAATTATTTAAAAGTACATAAAAGTAAGTGTTAGGGGCTATTAAATGTGAATGACATTTTAAATACAGAGAATTCTGCAATACTGCAAAAGAAAAAAAAGTGTACGGAGCAATGACACCGATATCTTACATTTCCAGTTATGTAGAAAAAATACATATGTCTAAACCCGCAATGAATAGTGGACTTTTCTAGTAAAAGGAAATTAAAACCAGTTCCTATGCTGGTTTTCTAATCATGTAAGAGAAATGAAAACAGTGTTCTTTTTAATAACCACATTTTCTGCTTAGTATTTCTCTTGCTAACTTACCATAAGAAATATAGTAAATGTATTTTACAGTAAATGTATTAGCCAAGAAAATTTGTTCCTATGTTTGGGAATCTACGTTTGATAAGTTTGATATTTTCTGTCCTTTAAGATGATACGTGAACCTGATCTAAAGATCCTTATATTGGTTTCAAGAAGCTAGCTTGGGTTGTGCAAGTGCAGAACATCTTCAGTTTTGTAGTTCATTACTTGAAGGTTGTATAGAGGTTCTTGCCCGTGGAGCTTTGCGGGCTTGGGGTAGCTGGTCCTGCCGGCGCCGAGACAGCGGCACGTGTACACAGAGAAGTTGTTGAGCCTGTGCCTTCATGGGAAAGGAATATGCTAAAGCCAGGGCAGGGCTGTGGAGGTAGGAACCCGAATTAAGAAACGCCAGGTTAAGGGTTGCCTGTGCATCCTTAATTACTCCCCTTGTTTTATGTTAACATTGAACTGTAATGCATTATTTTTTTTATGAGTGGTACCTCGCTCAGCATGCTGAATGGATAACACTTGCTTAATTAGAAACTGTTGTGTTTCGTTTTCTCTTACCCCTGCACCCCCCACCTCACTGATAATGCAACTTTTCTACAAAACAGAGGTATGACTTAAAGAAGCAACTGCCTCTCTGCAGCTTTGCCTGGAGCAGCTTCACATTACGCTCTGGAGAGCCCAGGCTTTGCATAGGAAATTGGTGTGTGCCCATAGAGTAACAGCTCCTGGCTTTGTACTTTGATGGTAGATTCTTTACATTTTCCAGGGGATACGGTCCCTGTCTCTTATCTTACAAAACTGGGTGAAGGGATTCAGTGACACCTATTTGTATGAAGTTGAGAACCTTTTTGCTGACGTACAAGCTGGCGAATGGTGCATGAAACCAAGGGCTCATAACTAACAGAAGATTTGTTGGTTAAAAAATTCTGCATTTCATTCTGTTGTAAAGAAATCGAGTAATAAATGAACTGCAAAGTAAAACCTGTCAGAGTCACCTGAGTGACTGCTGGGCAGGGGATGTTACACACCAGGGAATAAATTTCCAGAGGGGAGGTAAAGACTTCGGTCCTGGAGGAGATGGTGTAAACGTAGAAAGGTGCAGGTGTATGTGTCGGATGGGCCGTGGTCTGTGCTGCCATGTTGCTAGCCGGGATTTTCCGGGGAGCTGTGTACTGCTGCCAGGGCATGTCAGACTTGCTACGTGTAGTACTGACTGTACAGTGCATGTGTACGTGTGCTCGTAGCTTTCTTGGAGCATCAGCCTCACTGTAAGTGCCAAGCAAGTGCTGTTGGCATGTCCAACACTGGATTGGAAACGGCTCGGGGTACTCTTCGGTAGCTCTGTGGTGGCTGCGTCTCAGGAATTGCAAACAAATGCTGGTGGTCCTCCTAGACTATCCATCTGGACAGAATTTCCACACAGAAAAAGAGAAACTCTGAAAAATAGTGCTTTTGTTAATATTTGTTGCTCTATAAAAATTGCTGATAATGCTTCTGGTAATGTTTATTGCTCTGCATAAATGATAATTAGCTCAGGAGACATTTGCCATCTAGACTGCGCCTGTGAATGCTGTGTTTCTAATGGCCTCTGTCCTGGACAGACAGACCCAGCCTGTCTCCGAATCTGCTTATTCCTCTCTCCCAACCGTTGTGCAAAGCCTCATGCTTCCACCAGCAGAAACACCGCACTGTTGAAATAGAAGTGGCTTTGAGCTTCTGTTAGCTAAGACTTCCTGCCAAGGTTTTTGGAAGTGGTCAGTGAGTATCTCGTTAAAGATGTAGTCTTCAGGACATGCTCCGTGCCAGCCTTAGGTTGGGACCCAGAAGCAGAAGTAGACCATCAGGGCATGGTAGCACGAAACTCAGGCACAGACTGTTTTCCCAAACAGCGGTCTGCTGGGGCAAGTAGCCTGCTGATCCCTGCTGAAACGGCTGCTGCTGGCAGGCGTGCTCCCTCCGTTGCCTTGCAGGGCTGCATTTTTTCCCCCAACTTTCGACCAGGTGCAGCATCTTCTGGCCTGTGATACCTCCCAGCCCTTACTGATCCCCTCTGCTCTCTGGTGATTTCTCAGAAAATGTAATATTTGTAAGTAGCTTAAAGGTTAAAATGTTGATAACCATTTTTTTACAGGTGTGTTGCTTGCCTGGGTTTCAAGTCCAGGGCATTGCACAGCCTCCAGTTGTGCAAGGTTTGATGTCTCCTGAGATTTTTTCACCAACACTGCGGCATCACAGCAGGGCCCAATAGCAATGTGAAACAAAAGCAGGCAGAGACATGCACACACACGGATGGCAACAGCAGATCTGAGAAGCAAATCTCATGCCTGATCTTGGCTGTGTGCTCCAGCTGTGGTTCATGTTTGCAGTTACGGCTTCTCTGCTGTTGCTAATGTTGCCCCCTCTGACTGTGCTGCAGCTGTGTGCTTGTCTGTGTAGGCTGTGAGATGTTTAGAGCCTCAACACTGCTTCCTCACCAGCCTGCGTGCATTCGGCGCTATCTCTTCAACAGTCGTGCCTCCTGCCTCTTCAGCAAAGCGGTGGCTTCTGGCTCCCTTGGCTAGACCCGTTATCCCCCATATCACCATCATTTGGCTCTTTGCAGTGTTCACTGCCCAAGCAGCCTATTTACACTGGAAAGCTGAGCGTTATTACAGTGCTGTACCTCTGCAATTAAACATGCTGGTTTACTTTTGCTTCTGCTGACATGGGTGCGAATTGCCCTGATTTCACAGTGAGGAGGGCCTGTAATTGTTTTTTGTTTTCATGAGCCAAAGATGATGTCTTAACTGACAGCCAGGCAGGTTGGCTAGTTCTGCCCTGAAATACAGAAAATAAAAGGTTGAGCTTTTTTAGGCTTGCAAGGGAGTGTCTTTGCATAAAACATCCTTGTGAATTTTACCCTCTGCTATGTTACTGTTGTTGGCTTTGGGTTGGATGGAGGTAGGTAGGGGCAAGGAGTGCAGGGTTTGGGATATGCTTGGTGAAAAAAGGCTCCATTTAATTGTTGTGAAGAACGAATGTATTCTGCATTTATCCTTAATAAAGCTAAAAATATGAACAACCATAGAACAGATTTTTTTTTTTTTTTTCTGGTTAAAAATCATACTTTATAAATCCAAGCAAAAATGGAGGGTCCTAAGCAATAGATGATAAGCTGTGTTGGGCATGTGACCATGAAATATTCCTAATGTGTACAATAACAGTGATTGTGCACATTCTTTGAGTTTGTGTCCATCATTTTCCAGAGTCTGACTTAGTTTCTTCTAGAAATCTGGCAAGGAAAGTCACTTTCCTTTCCTTCCTGCTCTGGGTGTAAAACCACAGCTGAGTCCATGTGGAGCATGTTACATCCAGAGGTAGGGCAACAGAGTCTCTCTCCCTTGTGGCTCTGGGAACAATAGGGACTGGTGTGGCCATCCATGTAAACCAGGATAGACCTGTCATCTTGTGGAGCTACCAGGGCCTCTTGGGCAGCCAGGACTCAAGTCCTTGAATTGTGGTCCTTAGAGGCAATGGAAGGAGACCTCCTCAAAATTGAGGACCTTGAGGTTCCCAGCTTGTCAGAAAGTTCTCGACCATATCTGATCCCATGTGATCCATGTACATTAATACTAAAGATACACATCTATGCGGGATACATTCATAGCATAATGGAGATAATAAATTTGGAATGCTCATCTAGGAGTGAGTTAATTGTTATGGCACTCATAAACTGTTATTGTACCTTCTCTTTTCCATTTATCCCCTAGGGGATCTTCGCAGCAGTCATACGCTTTGTTGGTTAGAAAAACAGGAGGGTTTGTACCTTTCTTGCTGCTAGGTTTACACAGTGTGCATCTCCTCCAGCTTGCTCTGGCTGCTACACAAAGTAAATGACACCTTCAACTAATGCATTTTGGTTTTTTTTTTCCAGAGAATATACTGAAGTGCGGTCAGATTTTCACTGAAACTGTAGAAATACTTTTCTGAATCCCAATAGGAAATGGGATATAGGAACCGATGTCCCATGAGCATCTTGTGACCAAAGTCACAAAGGTGCAGAAACCTCCCAGGCCCTGGCTGCCAGCAGCTGCGCCGTCTCGGGACGGAGATCACTTTTCCTTTCAGGCTCACCACTTAGCCATTGCCTTACGCCCTACAGCACGAGGACTGTTTCCAATTTTGTAAGTTTTCTATCTTGCTCTGAGAGGTCTGAATGTCTGCATAGGTACCCGCTGCTTTTTTGAGTCCTGCTGAGCTGTTATCTGTGATTTCTCATGCCATCAAAATTTAATTTTCTTTGATATATTTCGCAATATTAAAAGGATCTATTTTATGCAATTGAGAACAATTCTGAATAAAAGTGACTGGAAAGAAAAACATAAAAAATAATTTAGGGCAATAATGGAGAAGCCTTTACAGAAGCTCAATGAGATACCTGTCCCCTTCTCTCCTCTGTAAACAGGAACAAGTCCTCACAAAAGACAGTTTTATCAGACTCATTCCACCTGAACGAAATGTAAACAGCAATAAAATTATATATGAAAAACATGGCAAAAAAGAGAAAGGGAGATGGGTGGCTTTAAACGAATCGTGGTGAATTGCAGAGAGTGCATAAAGCTGAAAAAACCCCTGACAAATCTATAGTCAGAAGTGCTAAAGACCGTAAGTACCTCAGGGAGGATTTGTGAGATACCGGTGATCAGATTGTCAGTAAAGGCGCCTGATGGGCAGGAATAAAAAAAAAGCAAAGGCACTGGCAGCTGTATTCGCCTTTGCTGCAGATAATGAGATACTTCCTATGCCAAACAGTGGCGGGGGTGGCATGGGATACCTGCTGGAGAGCATCAGAAGATACCAGCATAGCTGACGTCATGCACTATTATAAAGAATGGGTTTTTTTCCAAACAAACTTGGTCTTGCTTTTGGATTAAATTGACAAAAATAGTTGTTATACATTTCAAAGGCTGTGTAGACTGCCTGTCATTAAAAATAGCTCTATACAAAATCTTTGATTGATTAAAAATTAAATTACAAACCTCTGTCTGTAAATTCTGAATTGTCTGTCCTGTACCTGAAGGATTGGGCATGAGCTGATGATTAAATGCTGGCTATTCAATGCAACCCCTGGCTCGGGAAGTTCCCGAAAACCTGTTTTCTTCCCAAGGCAGCGTTGGTGTCCCCAGCCAGCCCTCTGAAGTCTCTGCAGCCACAGACTTGTTCTTAGCAACTCTCCTGTGTGCTATTTGCTGTTCGATGATTTTTTTTTTTTTTTTTTAAATGAATTGATCCGAGCTTGGCATTTCAGTGAGGCTGTGCATTGATTTACAAGATGGCATTGTAATACCATCAGGGTTTTCCATACTATTTCCTCATACAGCATGCAATCCAAAGTTTTATTGGATTTTTAACTTGATTCCGCCCCCCCCATTCTTTGAGTAGAGAGATTTGATTGAACATTCACCGGTACTTAGGCCTTTCCCTGATGGTTAAAGTCAAGCAGACAGAATAAGATCATTCCTCTCCCCTGCCGGCTTTTCAGGAGCAGAGGCAACACTGGGGACTGCGAAGTGGAGCACTTTGTCAGCAGCCCTAACCTTTGCAGAGAAACACAACCTCCTCCTGCAGCGAGCAGTGAAAAGCTAAACTTTTGCCTCCAACCGTTCCCATTAATGGCTGTGCTTGGGTTATCCCCCTGCTTTTAGGTAAACATTAATGCAGCCGTGTCGGGAGCGCACTTGCTCCAGCTGGCTCTTTTTCACTGGCAGCAGGGAGAGAGATGCTCCGACATCCTGATGTGAACAGGAGCTCAAAGTGAGGTGAGGGGGATCCAAATTTTCTTATGTGCTCTGGAGCACAAGGGCTTCTATTCCTTCAAAACATCCATTTAATAAAACTTTTTTAATTCTGTTGCTTCTTTTTGACCTCCTTCTTAAAGTAAGCAGGTTATCCGTGTTAGCAGCAGCTATCAATGCCCCTTAGGTTTTATCATTTCTTTTCTGAATTGAATGCTCTGATGGGAAACTTCTAATTTGCGATTTATGCTCTCTTTGCTCATACTCATCATGATTTGCATTCTAATAACCCTAAAGCACATCCATGGCCCTTCCACAGCCACACGTATGCGTGTGGTGATGGTTTTCTAAGCTCTGAATTTTTGACCAAGATTTTAAGCCTAATTCACCCTCATTTTTATATCTATTAGAGTAGTCCCTTTATTTTTCCTCCAAGATTTTTGTTCTTTACTGTCAGTAATATTTCTCCCACACAGACAAATGAATCTGAACCCTTTTGTATAAACTTCTTTCTATTTATTATTATTCTTTTTAGCAAGTTGCTGACAAACAGCTAATTGCAGCAGTATTTACAACTTTGTCAGTCCTTATGCCCAGAGCAAAGGGGTTGAGGAATCTTAATGGTCCAAGTCCTCCTTCCTGCACTGCTGAGGAACGCCAAGGATGATCTCTCAAATAAAACTTTAGGACTTTTTCCCCCTTAATATCCAGAAAAATGAAGGATTGCAGATCTTGCTGACTTCTTTAGATAAACCCCCTCTTTTCCCGCTGCTGTGGAGGGAAATGGGTGATTTTGTCATTGTTAAAAGTCAAGAGGCAAAGCGAGCCCTCTGTCCACACAAACTGCTGGTACTCAACTGATATTCGTGGGGCAGATAGTCTCAGAATAGCGTATGACATTGCGTGACCACTGTTGAAAAGAGCTTTCTCATGATAATGTTGTCTTGGTACCCAGCCAAGTCCTGGCTGGGTAACATGTGGGGCAGAGTCAGCTGCTTCTACTGTTGCTTGCTCTGTCACGTTTGCTGCATCCCGGTTCCTCCGTGAGATGCTGTGCTCTCAGCCATGTGCCCACCCAGGAGCTGTGGTGTCCAGGGTGGAGAGACCACCGTGTCCATCTTGCAGCTGGCTGAGATGGCAGGGCTGGCCTCAGTGGGGGCCAGATCTGAGTTAACGCTGTGGAGAGGCAGCGTTGGGACTGCCTCGCTGGCCTACGCCATGGTGCTGGCAGTAACCCCGCTTCCCTCCATGCCCACAAGGCCACCACTCCTGGGCCCCTGAAATTGGGCAGGTGGAAGTTGGCCGCAGAGTGCCACTCACGCCGCAGAGATGTCAGACCGACGCTATTGCTGTCTTTTGCAGTCACATCTATAAGAAGAATCATGACGTGACCAAAACTTGGAAAGGAAAGACGGAGCAGCTTCTCAGGGTTGATGACCATGACTTCACCATGCGGCCGGCTTTTGGAGGTGAGAATAAAACGGTTGTCTCAATTGCATGCTCATCTAATTAAAAGTCACCTAATTATCTAATTAATCACATAATTAAAAAAAAAAAAAGCCTCTGGCCAGATGCACCACTGTGAAGGGAAAGGACTTGGGTGGTTTCAGGAGATATGCAAGGCAATTCAGAGAGGGCTCCTCCTCACTTCATAGTCCACTGTACAGCTCCTACACTCCTCCTTGCTGCTGAAGTTGGCTCTTTTTTTGGCTAGTGTTCCCCAGAGCTCAGGATGGACCCTCCTGGTAAGTATCTCACTGTTGAGAAGATGAACAAGCTGCAGGTTTTAATGTTCACTTGTAGTTGTGAAGTTGCAATGACCTTTTCAGCTGATGTGATCAAATTGCAAAATAAAGAACTCGTTAGGTGGATCACATCCCGTCCTTGCTAGGAGAAAATGGAGTATTTTTGTCCAGATAAAATCTTGTCTCAAACTCTCTAAAGCAACGAAAAGAGCAGGAGGGAAGGCCTCCATCACCTTCACTTCTGTCTTCTGTTGTACCCAGTTACAGAACAAGCTCGCCTGGTCTTTCCAAGCTCACTACTGCAGAGGTAAAAGAGTACTTGAATAAAAAATGTGCTGGTATACCAGCATGGAAATCGCTCTTCTGATCAGATCAATAACCTCCAGAGCTAAGGACAGAGTTTTCTACAGCTTTTGCTGAACGACTAATACTGCATCCTTTGTCAATTGTCCTTCTAGGATGAAGTGCAACATCTCCCTGTCCCGGGGGTCACAGGGGTATTTTGCCTTTTGCACCCAGTCCGTAGAACAGAGCTTCGCTGACCTGCCCCTTCCTGGCGTAGCTGGAAAGACGTTTCTTGCCCCATAGTACCGATGCGCTGATCTGACAGCACAGTGCTGTCCCCATGATCACAATTTATATATCTCCAAACTCCAGAGTCCAAGATGTGTCATCACCAGTGTTTCTGCCCGCCCCCTCCCCCCAAGTAATTTACTAACAAGTTCAGTCCAGCCCACCCGTTGGAGGTAACTCTTTTGATAATCTGTGGTAAACTTGATCTGTTATTTCTAGGGTTGAAGAGTTTGCCTTAAATTGTTCTCTGGTTGGAACACAGGAAAATCTCCCTGGGGTTGGTGTGAGCACATCTGACAAGCCCAGGTGTGCAGCTGGGGCTCAGGGCTGAGGTCCGGGAGCTGGCTCTGGAGGCAGGGGCCATGCCTGCTCCTTTTTGAATCGGCTGTAAAAGTGGTGCTGAATGAGCTGCCCTCGGGCCCCTCACTTGCTCCAGATGAATATCTATCCCCTTGACAGTGATACTCGTGCTCCACCCTCTGGTTAGGGAAAGGGAGGTTATGGCTTATTGCTGGTGTTTCCTCTCCTGCCAGGTTGCTTCTTTTGGAAGGTAAGCCTTTCAGCAGGGTAGATTTGGGAAGGAACCTGACCTCTGAAAGATGAAGAGACCAGGGAGTCGTGAGATTGGTTTCACGGACTGACCTAAATCCTCTTGGCTCCAGGAGGAGATGGTCACCATCAGGACTGTCCAGCCAGCTGCATCGCTGGCTCAGTCTCCTGTTTGTTTGTTTATCTATTGGTCTTGGGGTTTTTTTACCTGACTTCTTAGGCTTCTTTTTTCCATTCTTCTGTTCTGTCTGCAAAGCCTGGATCTGGAAGGTGTTGGCTGGTTGTCCACTGCCTTCAGTCTGGCTTTGTTTTGTTGGCATGCTGCTCCGTCATGGATATTGATGATCATGTGCCATCCCACATGGCTTGCCCAGCACAGCAGTGCTTTATCACAGAATCACAGAATGGTTTGGGCTGGAAGGGACCTTTGAAGATCATCTAGCCCACCTCCCTGCCATTGGCAGGGACATCTTTCACTAGATCAGATTGCTCAAAGCTCCATCCAACCTGACCTTGAACACTTCCAATGATGGGTTCAACACTTCATTGATTTTGATCAACACTTCATTGATTTGTGTCACTAGATCGTATGTTGTCTTCTGAAGGGGGATAGGAGGTTGTGTGGTTTCACACATGTGAAGGTGGATTGCTGGTTTGGTATGCTTCATCTTTCCTAACAGAAGACTAGATGCTGAGAAGTAGATATCATGCTCTGTTGAGTGAGTTCACTAAAGTGTACATACATCCCTAAATACCAGGTATGCCCTGTCCTGCTATAAGCTCAGAGGGTCCCCCCCTACTTCCCGTTCTGTAGATCCTCTGTCCTTCTCCTCTTCCCTCCCCAAGGCCTTAAAAGAGAGCAGTGTGGAAAGCTCTTGTGGCTGCTTCTGAAGCAGTAACTTTTTCTTGGCTTTATCCTTCTCCTACGTTCAGACAGGAACCACTATCTTGTAGTAATCTGGCTGCAAATACATTTTCCTCTGACCATTTTCACTCCTTACTGCAAGGCTGGTGCCTGTGCTGGAATTGTTCCTTTTCTCTCAGAGAAGAGAAGACGGTGTTACTGGTGCTGAAGATCATCCCTGCTCACCCCTGATCACATCGGGAGGTGAGCGTGCTTGTTCTAGCGGCTCTCCTGGAGCAACAGAGAGGGGAGAAGCGAAGTGCAGAGGCAGGCTCAGATTTGAAAGCACACAGGGCCCCAGGCTGGTAGCCCCTAGGACAGGTACAGTATGCATCCAATGCAGTGGCAGGCACTGAGGAGACAGGACCATGCACAGCTTGTAAATTACGGCAGTGAGAAGGAGAATCCCAAATGCTTGCCTTTTGCCAGCTCCTGAGACAGCAGTCACCACTAAACTGGTCTCACTGGGCCATATTTCATCGTATTAAAATGCAAGGGAATAGAACAAACAGAGAAAACCAGCCAGCTCAGAGAGAGCGCAGCTATGGGATCCTTATTTGTCTTGGTGACTCTAGGTTGAATAGAGCTGATTTTAACAGTAAATGGTTTTCCCAGCTAGTGAAGCCAGTGACAAACTCTGCCGGTCCCAAAGGGAAGGGATCAAGCTTTCCCTTCATTGGGCAAAAATCAGCATCAGTGTCAGAGAGGGAATCTTACTAGTCTTCTAGGTGGCAGAGAAAAGCCTCAAAGCATGTGCGTCAAAAACCTTAGAAACCCAAATCATTAAAGATTAGGGTGCCGTGTTGGGTTTTCAGAGTTTTTTTTTTTTTTTTTTTTTTTAAGCCAACCTTAGTTTTTGCAGTTCGGCTGATGACTTCTGAATGCCTGATGTCTGTCCAGGACAGACTGGAAGTGGCACTCTCTCCTCGGTGTCACCATTCTGGCCAAAAGACCTGCTGGCTCCTGGGGCTGGTGGGGTGGGGTGTCAGGGCTTCTCTGGGAGGAGATCTGGACTCCTTCCCTTGACTTGGTTGGCGATAGCTGGGGAGCCACTGTGATTTTTTTTTTTTTTTAACCTAGCTAAATGGATGTATGTCATACATAGCTAGGATGTACGTCAGGGACATGATGCCTGTGCTTTTTGGGGAAGCTGAGGGATTTTGTTCTGTTGTGCTGATGGTTTAGGTTTTGATGCCCAGTGTCACCACTGCACTGTATTTCTGTAAACAGACCAAATTTTTACTATTTTTATCAATGTCACAATGAGCCCGTGAGAAACACTTTTGTGCACATTTCCCACCAAGTAGACACACATAGTTACACGGTTACTCTTACAGTGCTAACGTAACTGCATTTTAATCTCCTTCTTGTCTTGTTTTCCTATGCTACCTCCCATCACAGGCATTAGGATACCGTTAGAGCCTAAAAACATTTATAAAATTGAGAAATATCCCAACAGCCTTCGGTGAGAAGGTGACTTTTTGTAAAGGAAAAACATGGTGTTTCTGTAATTTTTGCTCAAAACCTCCTTATCCTGTAGAGCTACCTGGGACAAAGGTGGGGCATTAGGAAAGTTGCACTGAAGTTGCATATGATAAGGAACAAAACATGGCAACAACTTTGTTGAGGCTCCAGCCTTGGAAAGCGCGGTTCACACTCATGGAGATAGCTCGGGTGCCACAGGTTCTTGCACAGCTGCAGAATTATGCAGTGTATTTTTAGTGACAGATGATAAGCCTGATGGAAAAAAATATAAAGGAAAGAAAACAAAAGCCTGGTAAGAGGTGATCCTTATATTTTCTTCTGTAATGTTATTCACCAGGCAGTCACAGTGATTTGCTATGCCCTGTGAGTCCTTCCAGTTTTTTGCTGCGGCAATGCCAGTCAAACTGATGCGGTCTGACCAGCGTAGGACAAAAAGGCTTTTGTACTGCTGAAGCGGAGTAGAGGAGCCTGTGGGAGGCGTGTGACTGTAACTGGTCGATGCCCTAAGACCCTCTCTGCTCTCTGAGGGCAGCTCAGGGACCACGATCTAATGGAGAGTCCAGCTCTGTGGCATGGCACCGGGCCTGTGATGTTATGGTGCAAGTGGGAAAGGCAACTCATCTCTGGAAAACACAAATAAGATCATAAGGAGATTGTGAGTGACATTAGACTATAAAGAAACCCAATACCGTAAAAGTGATGGTTCCCAAGCTTGGTGGAATAATGGGCAGCTCTTAACCTTCAACATTTTTGGTGGACCAGTCTACAACTTCACCACTGAACTTGAAGATAAAAAGGAGATGGGGTCTGTAGCTGCTTTATTGTGGCCACACTGACCCTTGCTGTTCTGCAGAGGACAGTCAGCAAGCTGCCAGCCCAACACAGCTGTGACCACTGGACAGAGCAGGCTGGGGTTATGCAAGGTGAAACGGAAGAAAAACGTTGGAGAAAGGTGAAGGGTTTTTCAAGAAAAAGTATCTTTGTAAAGAGCAAGTAAGCAAGCAAATGTTGCGTAAGTTGTATTATTAGCAGCCCAATAAGCATGGTTGTCTTGCCTGCTCTCAGCCCATGAGAGACAAGCTATTGGGTACGGTGGTAATGACAAAGATTTTTGCTTTGCTGATGTTCCAAGTAGCCTCCATAAGCTAAAATAGACTGCGTTTCTTATGACCCTTAGGGATTTATTTCCATGTCAGTGACCTTGTTCTAGCTA